ATCTACTAAAACTCTCTACTATCACATATCATCTACGCACAACAGCCGAGGCAGTAAATTCACAACACATTGATCGTTCTAAAAGAATGATTCACTATCAGTCGATACATCTGCAGGCAGGGTTTTTCCACTCATACATGGTTCTTGGAAAGTCCAACACCTTTTCTGCAGTTGGTCCTACATTTTATTTTACGTATCCTTTTACTATGATCCGTCCTGCTTGAGATGCAACGGGGTGTTTTGAGATACGTATCGTTTATTCCAGTTAAATCGTACCATGGTGAATAAGGAAGTTTCAATCTGCTTTTTTTTTACGCCTTTTATCGAGAGTTTCTACTCCAGAGCCATACTTCGGGTCACTAGTTGCGTGCACTGCAGGCGAAGGCAACGCCAGGCGAGGGGAGAAAAAGAAAGCACTAGGAGTGCTAGGGAGGGAGAGAGAAACCTCCTTTCCTCTCTAGCGTTTCTAGCGCTCTCCCTTTCTCTCTTCACCTGGCGTTGCCTTCGCCTGCACTGTACACAACTAGTGACACACCGACTATAGATTTGATTCTTCCCAAACACCTTCTCAACGCTATTTTCGCAGCAGGGTCGCAAACAAGTGTGTGTGTGTGAACAGGCGAGCGCGGTGTTTGCTCGTCCTCCCCCCTGGCCGGCCTTATCGGCTGCGAAGGCCGCTGCCACCAACAACCCGCTATCGCACGAGGAGAGAGCATCCGCCACGATCAGCGGACAAATATTGTGCAGCTCCTCGCATCGGGAATCGCGCCTCGGTTACCTCGGCGGCAGCCCGATCCGCATCCCTGGCGGCCGCTCGACTTCGTTCACCCTCCAGCTGACAGTGCGGGGAAAGGCTACGCTGGACCGGTCCCACGTCTTTGTTTTTGCACGTGACCGGGCTCCCGCCCAAACCGAGACGCAGGGAGAGAGAAAGCGGGGCCATGTGACGAAAGGAAGTCGTTTGATTGGTCCGGCGAGCACCTAGCTTCCATCGCACTGGTAGCTTAGGGGTGAACGGAGTATAATTTCTAGGTCGAAAACATTTTCCCGGCCGACTGGTCCCCCCCTCTCTACGCGCGCGGTAGGCCCCATAAACAGGTCCGAACGGCTTTCGCCCTCCGTCGACACATTTCGACATCCTAGTTACGCGATGACCCCGAGCACTACGGACGGAGTCGGCCACGGCCTCACCAGGACTGGGCTATATGATAGCCCAGTCCCACCGGGACTGGGCTACGCTAAAGTCCTACTAAAGTCCCACCAGGACTGGGCTACGTCGTAGCCTACCAGGAGTGGGATATGATATAGCCCAGTCCTGGTGGGCTATATGCCTATCCCAGTACCACCAGGTCTGGGCTACGCTAAAGTTTTAAAATCCCACCAGGACTGGGCTAAGCTTTAAAGCCTTACCAGGACTGGGATACGATAAAATCTGGAAGTCCCACTAGGAGTGGGCTACGCTAAAATCCATCCATTTTTAATTTTAGAATAGGGAGTTTTCGTACATCGCTTTGACCATCCCGCAACGCTCTCCGCAACCTGCTACGGTACCCGAACTCTACAGTCAAGGCCATCGGCACGCAGGCGCAGCAGCGGCTTCTTCGCTGCAAAGGGGAAACGCGGTTGACGAAGGGCCATTCACAGGCCCAAAGGGGTGTTCAGTTCATTCTGCCGCTGTGCGTCGCCGCTCGCTTCCTGAAATCCTGCGCCGTCACGAAGTTGGCGCTTCGAGGAATTCGGTAACCGAGGTCTATTATTAGGGCGAAAGCCTTCTATGTCTCATCGTTCAGACGACCTTCGAAGTCCTCGAGCGAAAACACGTCGGGGACACGAAAGCTACCAAAACGTTTACGTGACATATCCGAATTTTAATATTGCTCCGAAAAAACTTTACGCTCTTGTCCCTCGGCTAGCGTCGAACCAGCGACCTTTCGTTCCGTAAATCCTGTGTCTGTCTTTAATGCATCGGCGCTTGGGCTTCAGCCTTTTCGTCCGGCCGCCACGAGCCAACGGAACCAATCACACAGATTTGAAAATGCAACGTTATTATGCTCCTCGTGTCTGTACAAGTTTTGTCATCGTTAAACTATCATCCACATGGAAGGCCCAGTGACTTGCGCTTTTAACATCTGTGTTCGTGGTTGTACGTGCTCGCGCCTTCGACAGCGCTCGAACATATGATGAAACGAAGTCTTTAGCTACGCGGGTTCCCAAATGCCTAAGTCACCGTCGCTACCGGACTACGTTTACGGCTCACGTACCGTCGCCAAACGTCTTGCCGGCGATTTTTCGTCGTACCGAGCCGGACGTGATCTGCCAGAGACAGAAATAGGGAGTTTCCTCCATGGCCCAGTCATACCAGCGTCGGACTTTTTACCTTGGGCAATATACGCCCGTGAGCCCGTTTAGTGATGTCAGCGGAAGAAATTGTCTTTCAGCCTGTCTAGTTGTGGCAGTTGTGGTGTCATCGAGACTTCCCAGTACAGCCAGCGGTAGTATTTGTTTTCGAGCCTTTCGAGTGATGTCAGCAGTAATACTTGCCTCTGCGCCACCGGCGACTAGTGTATGAGCCCAGTGGCGTAGCCAGAAAATATTTTCCGAGGGTGTTTCAAGGTGCTGATGCAATCACACACACACACAAATATATATATATATATATATATATATATATATATATATATATATTAGAAGTAAAATTTTGGTGGTGTTCTGACAATTAAACACCCCCCCCCCCCCACCTCCCTGGCTACGCGTCTATAATGCTTCCACAACTAGACAGGCCTGTCTACCTGTACAGCATTATTTGGCTTCAAGAATGTCTATTGGCATCTTCAGCGGTACTTGCATTTAGGTTTGTCTAGTTAAGGCATCAATAGAACGTCATTATGTATTATTTTATTTACAGGAGACTGCAGGCCAATATTTTGGACCAAGCAAGATTGGATGAAATGTTTCGGACAATATGGCGACGGCAGTAACAGGAGTTGTCTTCAAGCTCGTCTTAAGATGCCAGCAGTTGTAGTTATCTTAACGTCTATCTAGTGACATCAGCTGTAGTACCTGCCTTTCAGAAAGTCGAGTAGTGTAAGCAGTATAGTATAAGTCTTTGGACCGGTTGGTGACACCAGCGGTACTACTCATGCCACGCGAGCCTTCTATGGCTTGGGCAGACCTGAATCTGTATTGCTTCTTTCTACGAATGAATAAAAATTATAAGTACCATTCGTCCTTGATCGTGTCTAGTGATGCCCGCTAGTATTTGCCTTTAAGTCCATCTCAGTAAAATTTGCTTTTGAGCCTGTCTAAAGTCTGTTGCAGGCAGGTTTAGAATAGCAGCACAAGCCCCTCCTCAAAGCTCTCTCGCTTCCACTTGCTACACTCGCCCCCTCTCCTATTTTGGGTTCTCTCTGCTCATGTGGAAATGGCGGAGAGCTTGTGAGAGGAGTAATCTGGTAGAAATAAAGCTCAACAATCTGCATTGTGTTGTCCCGTTCTTACTCTCGTCCCTGTCTTGAAGCACTATCATGTTTTCAAAGTTGTGAGCGGAGCTTGTTCCTTTATTTTTAATTAGATATGTATTCATATACCTCGAAGAGCCGTCTCCAGGTATCACACGGGGGACGGTTTAAATACCATAAAAATGGTTAGTCAGTCTTAAGCGTGGTAGTATCTGTCTTCGAGCCCGTGATGTGGTACTTTCTCCTACTCGGGGATGTCTGTGCGACGTGTGAGCTTTTGTGCATGCTTCATGAACACAAACCCGACGGACTGAATACATGAGTAGACCAGAGTAATGCTCGCCGACCTTACGCTGTTCGAAGCCTGCAGTGCCAAAAGTACGAGTTGCCGGTGTCTTGACAAGAGAGTGGGGTGAGATGTTTCGCAACTACCCTGGATCATGGTGGTGTGGTAAACTCAACAGCCGAGACATACTGAGCTGGTCGCAGATTAGTGCCCGATTGGAGCAACTGTTTCCTGCAGAGAGTTCTGTACACCTAAAGGTTAGTCGACTAGGCACACCCTAGAGCCGCAATCGAACTCTAAACATACACATGTTTCTTCCTTGTAGCACTGTCCTCGTACGAAAACTGTCTGCAGACATGTCAAACATGCTTGGAACATGCGTGAGGCTTGTCCGCACATGTCATCATGCCTGCAGCGAACACTTTTATACGACGTACGAGCATGCATCTTTACGTGTCGCATCGGACCTAGAGACCAGCCGCGTCGACTAAGCACCCTCGTTTGTCGCATCGAACAGCAAAGTCGACCTCACCAAGACCCCGCGTGTATTCAACCGGAAAAAAAAAAAAACGCTGAATCAACCGACCTTGCAAAAATCGATTGAGCGCCGTTCACGTACCACGCAAAAAATAGGACTCGACAGGCGTACAACGTGGACTGGCACCGATAAGTCGCCCTTATGTAAATGACGACGTAATCCGGCTTGGGGACACGGGAGCTGGTTTATCGTCGACTGTCGCGAGGAGGAGGGGCGGCTTACTGACGCGATTTTCGGCACAATAAATTCGTCGCCGGCGCCGAGGCAGCCGCCGGGGCCCACCGGTCGCCACACCGCCGCCGGTTTTTTCCTTTAGGCAACAGGTTTTCCTGCACTGACTGTTTTCGACCGTCCGCGCCGACAGATTGCGGTTGCTTTGTTTTTGCCCGTTCGCTTTTTCTCTTCTTTCCGACGGGGAGGAAATTCCGACAGAGGTTGGACGCCTGCCCGTACGCGTGAACCGCGATCGGTCGTGTTCGGAGTTGTAAATCGCCTATCGGGGGGAAAAATAATAAGAAAAAAAAAACAAGGAATGAAGAAAGCGGATACGATTTCTTCCGCAATTTTTTTTCGAACAGCGTCAACAAACGAACGCAACACTGTGCAATACCAAATCTACATCCCAAATAGGAAAAATATATCTTCTTAATTAGCCGATATTGGAGGTATCGTCTCCGTATGTAAATGAATACGTATATTAAAACCCGCGTTTCTGCGCTTACAAGCTCCGTAGGTATCGGGTGAACGCGCGCGACAAATCATACGGTCGAGAAGCTGGGCTTACTTTTCGGATAACGTCTCCGTTGGCTGCCGTCGTTTCCTCGTGGTGGTGGCCGTTGGGCTGAGGAACGCCGTCCGCCGGAGTCCGGATGTAGCGCACGTTATCCTGCGTTCCTCGGGGCACAATCTTGCGGTCCTTGTACCAGGCGTCCGCCGCACTGTCCACCACCAAAAGCTTGGTCTCATCGGGCACGGACTTGATTCGTTCGACCACCTGTTTGTGGTTCTCGTTGGCGATGTTGACGCCGTTCACTTCGACGATCCGATCGCCTTCGAGCATCCCCGCCAGTTCGGCGGGGCTGTGCGGGTCCACTTTGCCGATGAACTGTCCCGGCTTGGACTTCTCGGCGTGGAGGTTGAAGCCGTAGCCTTCGAAGGAAGCGATCTTGACGAGGTGGCAGAGCCGCGGCGCCGGGGCGTCGGGCGGTAGTACGTCTGAAGTCGTAGACATCGCCGGCGGTTTGTAGGAAGCTCGGCCGCTCTTGTCGAACCGGGAGAGAAGATCGCAGCGACGTTACGGTGCAACTAGACAATCTGCCGGCTGTGACGGGCCGCACATCAGCTGCACTCTCGCAAAGGCGCGGTGGGTAAAAAAACAAGAAGCAAAACGCACCAGCGGACTGCCCGAATAAAAAGGGAATCACGTGAACGTCTGCGCTATTTCCCCGTCCGCTGCAAGTGGGCGACCGGTAGTGCGGATTGCGGGCGAGCCATGGCGCTGGCGGCGCGACGCTCGACGCCTCGCGGCTGGAATGCGCAACGCTGGGATTGCGAAATCCAATTCACGGAAGGAAAACACGCGTTTCTTATTTACGGCGGCGGCGTGTCTTTTTCCGCCTTGTTCGCGGTGATTTGGGTTGTTGGCTGCGCTGCGGCTTCGGCGACTGCGCGGAATTTTATCCGCTCGACACTTGGCTTTGTTCAATAAATCTAGGAGGTGATAAAATGTTTGCAGGTAAAGGTAAAACGAAATTCGTTGCCCCTCTTACTAAAAAAAAAAAAAAAAAATATGTTGGCAGAATTGAATTACAATTTATAAATTCAGGTATTATTTTTCTTCCTTTTTTCTGTGTCCCTGATATGTTCGTGCATATAAACAGTCCACAACCAAGAAAGGTCTGAAGAGTGCCAAACTTTGCGACGTTGGTAAAATATTATCAAAGGAAGCACTGCATCATTAAAAAAAAATATATATATATATACAAATTAACTGCTGCGGTCACTAAACTATAACGTCAATATATATATATATATATATATATATATATATATATATATATATATATATATATAAATATATATTTAAAAAAACGTGTTCTTGTGGAACACGAGCAAACGGACGCGAGACACGCACACCTCGGCGCCCTTAGCGAAAACTAAGACGTTTGAAATACACCACATTCTAGTTTGAGTGCATTTGAAGTACAGTTCACAATTGTAAGTGCACAAAAAATAAACCTAAAATATACGCTGCTTTTTTTTTTTTTTTTTTTTACTTAGAACTAACATATATTTCTGAAAATCTTTTTAAAGTATCTTTATTAAACTACATTTGAAGTACTTTTCATGCATTCTTAAATGTGCAAATACTAAATTAGTAGGCACAAAATACCTTTCACATAGATTTCTTAAAATATTAATTTATTTCGCGGAAAATATACTCCAACCCAAATAAAAATGCAGCGATAAAAAACATGTGCAGAATGATCTTAAAATACCTGGAAATCGTAAATTCTCTTGTGTTATACTCTAAGTATATTTTGACTGCAATACTTTGCTAATTACCAAAGTATTGAAAAGCTCGCCTATCAGAAATTTATTTCAAGGAGATGCGGAGTACACTGAAGTGCCTAAAAACAACATTTGATTAGTTTGTCAATTGAGTTGTGCAGCATCGCAATGATAAATCAGCCCAATTTATGTTATTGTTTTTTTTTTTGTGTATAAAGAACCGGAGTGTCGAACCGATATTTTTATTGGTTCGGTTCGGGTTCGGGTTCACGGCTTTCGGTTCAGTTCCGGTTCAGTTCCGGGGCGCAAAAAATAACGGTTCAAACCGGTTCGAACCGGTTCGAACCGGTTTGAACCGCTAAATTGAGAATATATTTTCCGCGTTGTTCTGTCAATAGGCGCTATTTAGGCCGTGAAACTAACTGCTGTAAACGATCTGATTTTTGCGAGGACCTATTTTTGAGAATTTCGCGAATCGCCTACAATTCGCGAAAAATGGGTCCAGCGAACAATTTCGGTAAAATGTAAACAGATTGAAATTTATATTGAGATTCCACCGCGTCGAGAAAATTACAACCCGCGAATTATTCCAAAACTTCAGCTTTGACCTAAATCGCGAAATATTGAGCCCACGAAAAATAGTCGTTTACAGTATATAGTCTTTTTTTTTATTTGTTCAATTCAGTTTTATTCTCAGGTACCAAAATTATAAAAATTCTGTTATTTATTCCTACACAACAAGAAAGGAAAATCTACATTAACATACAAAACGTCGTGTTTATACGACTCAACATCCCTTCGTTTACCAGAGTCACATATATTGTACCTGAATCGAAATGTTTTCGGAAGTGAAATAGGTTGCCTAAAATACCCGTGATTGGTACAACTTTGTTTCGCAGTATTAGATGGTGAATCGTGGTTTTGCCCTTGAACTAAGGAATTAATTACAGTGAATACAGTCATGAAATGGGCACCTCTTCGCCATATATATCATGAAATGTGTTTTACGGAATACGTTTCACAATATATATATATGATGACGAGACGACTGAGCTTAAGGGAATATAATTTTCAAAATGTCACGAAAGTCACGGGACAAGTCCTTCTAGTCTATATTTTATAGGAACACTAAGCGACAATCGCAATGCTTGTTTTTCTAACTAGCATATTGTTTGCTCTCAGCACCATGATGCGGGCGACGAATCATGCGAAAAGGAGTGGCTGAAATTGTTCACTCTAACCTATGAGCACCTTAGTACTGAGATCGAATCTGACCTAAAACAGTGCTTACCCATGTGAACATTTTCTTATATTGGATAAACTGGCATAGCCTGGATGTTGAGGTTCGCTCTTGACAAAATGCAGGTCAATTTAATTTGCGAATAAGCATCACCCTCGCTAATTGATGATTTTCGTTAAATAGAACAAAGTGGCATTTCATGCTCTACTCAATTCGGAAGCTACCTAATTGGACACTTTCTGAGAGTTTAAGTGTGCAATCGTCATAGTTCCACCATTCGTTCCAGTAAAAAAAGGCGATAGTAAAAGCACATAAAAAACGCGATAATAAACTTCTATATATTTGAGAAGTTATATATGCGTGAGGAACACATATAGTTATTTAAATTAGCCTCAAAATAATAAAAAAAAGCATTATTTAAATCTTTTCAATATCACCTATAACGTGTCTATAGAGGATAAAAGCGCCGAAAAATATTTGCCGAACATCTTTCAGATAATTTAAAGGCGCATTTACTTATATATCTTGGAGGTGAGAATCTTCTATTTATGCTGCCAAATTTTCAGACAGGAATTAAGTATATTTTTATTATCATCGATAAATTTGACTTTATGAAGTTCACATAACCGCCTGAGACCGACACGGAAGGACGATACTCGAAAATACGCCAGCTGTTCTGTCTTCGGCAACGTGCTTTTTTAGCTGTTTTGCAGTGTAAAATAGTGGGTTGCAGGGCATGCCAAAAAACACTGTGGTCACATGATATATCGGAAGGCAAATACACGAAATGTGCAGAAATAAGGAGATGACACGCAATTTTTCCTAAATAATCCCTTACACAACGCTTTACTGCAAAAAGAAATGCATAGAAATGCATAAAATGATATTCCTAATTAAACATAGATTCCGCGCAGGGCAAACAAAGATTTTTTAGAATCCTAATATAAATCACTTTTGGGCATCAGCTTGCCTCAGCTCGAAACGTCGCGGGATACTACCTCGGGAGGCTAATGTTATCTTAGGTTTTACGTGCACTTGTTTTGAGACCTTACTTCATGACTCTGTTCTTTATCAGTCATGTGCTCCAACATTTCATTAGGCTGCCGTATATCATCGCGAGACTACTATAAATACTACACAACTTTACACATTGGACGTCTACTGCTGGTGTTGCGTTCGTCGCACTTCACCAGAAAGCTGAAGTATTTAACATGGTTTGCACGTGACGTAATCGCACTAGATACTGGTTGTCATTGCGAGTTGTTCTTGCTGAGAAAATCAAATCCGGTTTGGCAAAAGGCACGCTGCAAAAGTTTCGCGCTCAGTGCAAGCTATGTATTTGAGAGGCACACATTTTTCTTGTTGGTACATCGTCGTTAGGCACGGCGCGAGTATCTGGCACGACGAAAACGTGCTTTCTGGCAAGAGTGTTTTTACAAATAAAAGTTGTACCAACTACCCATCTGTCACTATCGTTTCCAGGCCACGCTTTCTAGTCTGCGCCGAAAATGTGGGGCAGAGGAATCTTTACGACACAGTATGCTTTAAAACTACCCCCCTCCCCACTCCCTTTTTTTTTAGTTGCTCCTCAAGATACTTTTTATTCCTCAGGGATTTCCTGCTCCGTATTGAGTGGTGTTCACTCGACAATTATATTTGTGTCACTTGTTAACGGTAATTCTTCCTTGCTTTAACTTTGCACCTAACTGTGAAGGTTAAACAAAATACAGGGCGGTCGAAACTTGGAGAACTTGAGAGCGACACTCCTGTGAGACTCAGAGCGGCTGCCAACGTTCGGCTATCCCCGTGAGGCCACTAGGATCTTTCTTTTCAGGTATCCCTCCCGTACACACTAATAGTTCCATGTAACGTCCGACTAATACGTCACATTTAGACCCTTTAACACTTCTATTCTCGGGACAACTTTCTGAGGCAGTTCAGCAATAACGAAAACATGTTTGGGAGCCTCAATGGTGTGCATACATGTAAAATGGGTCGTGCAGCATCTTTTTTTTTTTTACCTTAAGTTCAATAAATACCGCTAAGTTGTAATCCTTGATGTTGATAACTTGCAAAAGCATCCATTAGTTTGCCCCTCCGCGAAATGGCAGACAGTCGAAAGAAAGAAATGAAACAGCTTTCCCCTCCTCAACTCACAATTAGAACTATCAGCCACGTGATCTGATCCTAATATATACACCTTCAGTGTTTATCATAGTCATACGCAGGGTTGGCAAAGCAGAGAGCATGGGCTGATCTTCAGATATAATTTTAGTTGGGCTATAATGCCCGAGCCCCACTAAAGCGACAAACAGAAACAAACGACAGCCTTAAACCAGAGTATTTCGCGATTTGACAGGCTTTGTAGAATAAAGAAGGCTATGCTCAAACACGAGTATCATGCACACGATGGTACCATTTGCAGGCTTGTAAACACTCGTGCTAACTTCGCGAGCACCGAACAACTCAAAGCCGTATAAAGGTACCATCGCGAACATGCTGCATGTGTCTGAGGCTTGTCGCTTTCGTTTGTTTCTGTTTCTAGCTCTAGTGGGACTCGGGCCCATCATAATCTTTGAGTTGAACACGAGCGTTACCCGAAGGTTTGGCGATACTGGTTGTCATGAACCAGAGCATTTGACTCGGGATCATGACAATCGGGTACATCATGGTGTCACGTGACTCTCAGTGCGAAGTTGTGATGTC